AGTTTTAGGCTTTGAATCATCGTCCAGAGGAAGCTGCCAGAATCCCGAAAGTAAATCCAGTGTGGAGAAGAATCGCGCTCCCGCCAAGGCGTCCAGCGATTCGTCCATCCGTGGGAGCGGGTATGCGTCGGCAACCGAAATTTTGTTAAGGCACCGAAAATCAACGCAAAACCGCAACGAGCCGTCCTGCTTTTTAACCAGTACGATCGGCGCTCCCCAAGGACTGGTAGAGGGAGAAATGATGTCGGCGGCTAACATGTCATCAATAGCCGATTTGACATGGTCCTTTTCGGCGGGACTTAACCGAAACGGATTCTGGCGTATTGGCGCGCTGTCACCCGTGTCAATATGGTGACGCAGCAGATGAGTGCAACCCAAATCGTATTTGTTCCGACTGAAAACGTCGGAAAATTCCCGCCGTAGCGTTCTAAGCTATTGGCGCTCTGAATTTGACAGGTCCGTCGATCCCGCACAAAGCGCATCGAGCCACCCTTCATCGCTGTCCGAATGTGGGTGCGGCCGGGGAGCAGTGCCGACATGATTCGCAACCGGTTCCTCGCAGGGCACCGGCGTCGCGTGCGCAAGCACCGTCCCTTGAGGAACTACCACTGTTTGCGACCCCACATTGAGGACCGCGATGAAAGGGTCCCCGTCCCCCCTCACGACGGTCAGGGCCGGAATCAAATGCGGTCCACTAACCCCGGCCCTAGACGGTCCTTGCAGAATTCCCTGGGCCCCAATGCCCTCAGCGAAGGGCCGACGAAGTTTTAGAGGCACTAACATTTGAGCTCCCGGCGGCACACGAACTGTTTTAACGACGGACGCTGGTATAGTTACGAACGCCGTCCGAGTCGCAGTAGGTGAAGGCAGGAACGCCATGCGCCGTCCCGACGGGAGCTCAATGCATCCCTGGTCTATTAAAATACGATTCGGCATTTTGCCCAAGAAGTCCGTCCCCAGCAGGCACGGAACCGCCAGCGAGGAGGAAACAAAAATCGGGCCCGACAATTTGATATCCCCGATACAAATTTGCGCTCGAATCTGTCCAATGATGCCAAGGGAGCCCCCGTTAGCAGCATAGAATGGGACGTTAACCGGCAGTAAAGGACGGCTCTGGACAGGTAAAATGTTGTAAATTAGTTCGGAAATGATGGTCGCCGATGCCCCCGTGTCGACCAGGATGCGTACCTCAACCCCGTCAATGTGTCCCACGACGGCCGACGACCCCGACGAACGCGGCCACAACACGATGGGCTAACACGGACCACTGCCTGGGTTCGATTTGAGTCCCCAAAGTGGTGCGTGTTGGCCCATCGCAGCGCAATGTCGGCCCCCCGTTCGTTGTGGTGCGAGAGTGTGCGACAGGTGTGTGCTTAGGCCAAACATGTGTGATGCCGCGACTCGCCGGATCATGTTGATGGAGCTTGGGAGGAGGAGGAGGGCCGGCGTCCTGTGGAGGCGTCGTCCCCCGCTGCCGAGGAGAGCGGCACCCCGAGGCGACATGGCCCCGGACGCCGCAGTTGAAGCAACGCGGGAGCGCCGGCGGCGATGACGGACGGTGGAAGCGGCTCGCTCCATCCCGGCCCGACCGTGCTCCCGTCCTCTGTTGCCGTCGATGGTCGATGGCGTAACCCTCCTCCGTCGGGAGGGTGACTGCAGCAACCGCACGCCCGGCCCCTGCCCTGCTGGCCCTCCGTCGCTGTGACAGCAGGTTGGCGTGGAGGAGGCGCGCAGCTTGGAGGGAATCCATCTCCGTGTTGTCCTGTGCAACGACGGCGATGTCCAGGTCGTCTGCCAGCAGGAGGATTTTTTCTGTCACCATGGCGTCGACGCCGTCCTCGTCCATGCGAGGGAAGGCCGTCTTCGCCAGCGCCAGGAGACTCGTTCTGTACGCCAGGGGCGACTCGTTTGCGCCCCGCTGGCGGTCGTAAAACTGCTGCCTGCATTCCGCTGAAGGTCCGTAGACCCCGGCCAGCAGCTGCAGCGCCATCGGTAGTGTAGAGCGCTTCTCCCTCGGCGCCGATGTGAGGGCGGCGAGTGCGTCGCCGTCGAGGAGCGCCGGCAGCGCGCAGAGAGCTTCAGCATCCGACCATTTAGCCATTTCTTGGTGGGCGAGGAAGCGGCGCTGAAAGCCGCCCCAGTCGCCCTCCGCGCCAACAAACTCTTTAAGCGGAGGCAGTCTTTGGTGCAGCGCAGCGGTCACCGTGGAACCCCGCAGGCTGCTGTCTCCGTGACTCGGCTGTGCTTCGGCGCGAACGGCAGATGGTATCTCCTGTCGCAGCCGTGATGACGTTCCCTCCGCTGGCGATGACGCGGCAGCCCCAGCGAGGCCGATGTCGGACCCGAGGTTCAGGCTGGCCACGCCCTGAGCAGCCGCTGCGGCGATGGCGGGAAATTCAAAGTTTGAATCTTCGGAGATGGCGGGAAGGCGCTCCGGACGGCGGCTCTCCTCGCCCCGTGGTGGACCACCAGCCCCCAGCCGCGTGATGTTCTCCAGCGTGGCGGCAGCGGCGTATAGTAGCTCTGCCAGCCTTGCGTGAGCCAGCCTCAGCCCTTCTGTCTGCGGCTCCTCTTCATGCCGATGCCCCGGTAAGAACGCGTCCGGCCCCGGCTGCACGATGTCTTGTTGAGCCGTCTCGGGCTCGACAATTTCAGCGGTGTCCTCCACTTGCGGTACTTTGGCTCGAGCTGTTTGGCGCGTGTCCATGTTCGTAGTTGTTCTGACACCAGATGAAGTACCGTTGATGACGCTTGGACACCGTTGTTGGGCACGCGTATTTATTCGTACAAGTAGTCACACTGCGGACATACAATACTAGAGGGGTGTATCGGCCCCCTCACCCGGATAGCTGGGAATACTCTACTAGCTACCCCTGACCTACCTCCTAGTCCTCCACTAACGGGCTAGGGGAGGCTATCTGGCCCGACACTGGTCAGTCGGGCTACGGTACCCGGAGTCCCAGAGTACTAACTCTGGTTCACGGGACCCCGCCACTGGCTCGGTCCTGCGCGGCCCTGACAAGGGCGGCGTCCCAGGGGAGTCCAGGGCCTAGCTAGTCGATCTTCCGTCTTCCCTCCTTTACTCTAAAACTGAACCCCGAGCTCTCCGGCTCATCCCCATTCATACCCCCCGGAGGATCACAACCCCCCCCCCCCCGGGCAGCCCCCCAGGCCGCCCGGTGCGGACGTCGTTGCGGGCACCTCCCCGTGTACTCACGGAGCCCCGCCCACTGTGTTTGTTACCCGTGTGATCCTATGCATACAGCCCCTCTGTAACAGCCCTACATATCCATCACTATTCGCAGTGTGTCACTGCTCCTGTCGATCTCAGACAAGAGAACAATGAAGTTATTCAGGAACTGCTGAGGATATTTGTTTTTGCGTAATGCACAAATGGTCGAGTGCTTTCTACAACGATAGAGTACGTTGTTATTGTTTTACTGCTACATAGATGAAGGGCGTAACATGTACGAATGCAGTGTCAAGAACGTGTGATTTAAGCCTTAAGCCAAGAGTTGCTACGGATCCCAATGAAGATTGCAACCTCGATTGTGTAAAGTTTATTGACGCATTGCAGTCAGGACACATATTAGCGCTTCGTGGCAATAGCATCGCCACACGGTCCGTGCACCTTCGTTATGTCAGAAATGCAATCACACCGAGGGAATAGAGCGTAGGGGGAGGCAAAGGGAACGGGAATGATAGGGCAGAGACAAAGGCAGAATAAAACACCAGCAAGAGGACAAGGTAAGAAAGCGGGCGCGCACACACACACATACATTGGCAGGGATTGAAGATTTCTCCAGACTCGGGCGACGGTGAAGGTTTGAGGGCAGTTTCCCACACTACAGTCCTCGCGAGCCCTCCACAACAACTCTCTGTCTCTCCGTGTCTACCAGTTTTACTGTTCCCCATTCCAATACAAATTAACTCGTTCCACGGTGCACGCGCCCGATTATTGTTACATCCGTTCCACGTATGTATGTAAGTATTTTTTTACATATTTTGCACAGTACATAGCCAACCATGCTGATCGGAGGTGCGGGGAATGACAACAAACTAAACACAAAAAGTAGTCTCACGTGACACGCTAAACGATTAACTCCGCCTGTTAAGTGAAACATGTGTACACACAAGGAACAAGTGTGCTGGCGCGCACACGGAGATCTCAACCTTTATTTGAATCGGCTCTCTATTAACGCGGACAGCGTTAATTTCCTAGCGTGCCACGTGGGAGGTGTTTAACAATCAGCTGTAGCGTGCGGCGTGGAACGAGTTAATTGGGAGGAGTAAACGAGTGAACCGGGAGAGACGTAACGTGGTGGGGTGGTCGCAAGGACTGGAGTGTGGGAATCCCTGGACGAAGTAAGATCCAGAATCGTTTTGGGAGAGTTTTGGTGTTAGTCCGGTCCACCTTCGGAGCTCTCCGGGAGATGCAGTGACGGCTGTAGTTTCAACAACGCAAGGCTGCGTATCTTCCTTGAGCAGTGTGCAAGATGTAATGGTACATAAGGGCGGCATTGTGGTTGTGTAGTGGTGATGCTTGTGCCTCCCAGCAAGAAGCGCCACCTGGGTTCGATACCTGACTCGGTTCTCCCCCTGTTTCTATGGGTTTCTTCCAGGTTTCTCCGTTTTCTTCATCCCATAGAAAAAAACCCAATGTAAATGATATCGGCCAAACATCCCAATGCTGAAACAATTCCTGCAAATTACTCAATTGGGATCACACACAGAGGCAGCAACAGAGTCTTGCGACTCTTTAGAGAGACTTTCCTGGGTAACAAGAGTTTGTTTGCAGAACAGAATGCGACCTTGTGAGTAACATCACCCGCTCCTTAAACTGCCGGTGTGCATTATACCATCGCGTGTTCCATCATGAATATCCATGGCACCTCCACGTGGAATAAAGTTGCGTTGTCACTTTTTTTTTCGATTGACAGACTAAACTAAATTATCGGGAGAAACTGCGCGTGACGGCTAATCTGGCTGCCTCGTTCCAATCACCTGTCTGACTTCTTGCCGATGAGCGTAGAAACACACCTCTTGGCACCTTGGTTGACTTTCGACCCTTGTTGGACGTTGAACAGATCGACTCCTCTGTAGCTCGAGGAGAAAATTCGACCAGAGAGGATGAGGTAGAAGGCGTTACGGAAGGGCCTGTTGAAGGCCGCGAAGAGAATGGGATTTACCGTTGAGTTGATGTATGTGAACCAGTTGATGAACTCCCACGCCAACGAGCTTGCCTGGTATCCGAATATCGACTCCGTTGTCGACACCACAAAGTACGGCATCCAGAGCGAGATGAAGACGCCCACGATGATGCCCATGGTGATGGTGGCGCTGTGCTCGCGTCTCAGCGAACTCCTCGCGGAGTCCGCGTTCGAGCCCATGGCGGTGGAGGCAATCTTCCTCGCCTGCTGTCTGGCCAGCTGATAAATCCTGCCGTAGGCCAGCGTCATCAGCATCATAGGGACGACGCAGCCAAAAATCGTGTTGGCCATCGCGAACGGCAGGTTCAGCAGCACCGGGCAGTCGTCGGGACAAATCTGCGCTACTTCCTCCTCCAGCCCGACCAGGTTCCACTCCACCATGAAGACTACGCCGTAGAACGGGAGGCAGAGCCAGCAGAAGAGGAGCATGAGGGCGCACGTCCTGTTGGTGATGCGCTGGTGGTAGCGCAGCGGGTCGCTGATGGCCACGTAGCGGTCGAACGAGATGCAGCTGAGCAGCAGCACGGATAGAGTGCAGAGTGTGTAATCGAACCACGAGTGCATCTTGCAGAAGGTCCACCCGTAGAACCAGCAGTTGTACACGGAGCGCATTGCACTGAAGGGCATGATCAGCAGGCCCACCAGCAGGTCCGCCACGGCGAGAAACAGCGTCAGGACGTTGGTGCGAGTCTGCAGTTGCCTGAAGTAGAGGATTGATACGACAGTGAGGAGGTTTCCGAAAATGGTAATGGAGATGGCTGGGATGATGATGGTGATGAGAGTGGCTCGCTCGGCCTCGGAGATGTCGTTGGACGTGCAGTGGAAGTTGTGGAAGACCTCCACGCACAGCAGTGAACTGTTTCTGATGGACTCGTTCAGTGTTTCCATTGCTTGTTTGTTAGATATATATTCACGTGTAATATCAGCTCATCCTGCGAACGGGGTAAATCTTCAGATGTGTCTCAATCTTATATACCTATTCCCAACTCTCAACGAATTATCTGTACCATTGCAGGACGTCCGTGAAATGGAGCTTAACAGCTCATTAGGCCATTCCTGCTGAAATAAAAATAATAAAAATAACGTAATTAATAAATATACACATCCATATGTCGGAATACAAAGCGAGTACACAAACTGGAAAAAAATCAACGGTAAACATTCTTAGCCACGGTTTCATTCATATAGGTGGTAGGTTATATGTCTCGCAAAACTCATCATCACCATCATCATTGTGACCATAGATTATCGCTTTTCGTTCGGCCACAATGTGTCTTTGACCTTATACGCCGTCATTTACTCAAGTGGCTTGGCTGGCAAACTGACTTAGAAACGCGCCACTACAATTCCCTCTTACTCAGTCTGCACAAATAATAACGATTATTCGGCTGATCCTCCCGTATGTACCCTGCTCGAAGGACCCTTTTTATTATGTTTTATTTTTATTATTTTATTACTTCCCTTCTACGTGACTTTACCGAAAGAACCAAGAAGATAACGTGTCTTTCTGTATATACAGATGCACGTGAAGACTACGCTTTTACAGGTCCTCTGACCGATTGTATTCTATCTGGAAAGCTTCACTGAGACTCAGGGCTCAATTTCCAGGAGGACCCTGCTTGAAGAGAGTTGGCAACATCATTTTTTTATTCATGAACAACGACAAGGGACTTTGCTTTGCGTGGTAAGGGAACGCTCCGCCTTGGAGAAAAGCCACCATGCGCACAAACGAGGAGAAAGCGTTCATACATTTGCCTGCAGAGGTCCGAAACCCACTTGCTATACTGCCATATCAGAGGCCAAGCAAAAATTCCGCGTAGATAGGAGCTCAGCAACCCACTTGTTGTACCGCCATGTTTTGGAAGCTCACAGATCGGCACACATAGTTGAGAAACCCACACGCTGCACTGCTATCCTCTGGTCACACATGTCACGAAGTCCTCTTGCTGTCAATCAAGAGTCTGTACGGACACGCCATGAACCCGCTTGCTGTACTGACACCTCGTGGGCGCAGCCGAGCAAGTTGGAAGTCTCAAGCGCAAAACGATAGTCCTGTGATCCGCCAACCTCGCTTCGAGGCACACTGGATTAGAGGCGTGTGGGTTTGACAAACCTCACAAGGGCCACATCTCGGGGCGTCGTCGTCTTCGTAATGGACTGGCGAGGCAGACTCCTGCGATGCCATCCATACGCAACGAGATTACACAAAAACAATTTGGCGCTGCGATAGGCAGCGGTGAACAAGCGCAAATTACGTCTATGTGCACACGGTAATTCCTCGTTTAACGTGGTAGATGCGTTCCTGAAAAGTGCCACGTTAAGCGAAACCCGCTTTAAGCGAGGAATTATAATTTATTCATCACATTTGCACGATAAAATAATGAGTCTAGAGTCATTCCATGGCAGGACAAAAAAACTGAGATGAAGTTATGCCGCCGTGTTACTGTGTGATTCCACGTCCTGAATTGTATCGCTCAGCTGCACAGCTCACGAAAGTAGTTCGTCGTCGACTGCTCAGAAACCGCGTTATAACGGGCGCATTCCGCATTATAACGGCCACGTGGATTTTTCTCCGCGTTCTCGGGTTTTCCCTTTTACATTTATAATCAGCATAACGCGTTTAGAGTATTTGGTTGCGATACATCTACATATCAGTCAATTCGTTGAGCTGTCATTTGTGATAGCCAGGTCACTTCTGAAAAAGAGCTACATAGCTCAGTAGGCCTTACCTGGTAAAATAACATGGTTTAATTATATATATATTATGTGTAGCAACTGAGTCTCAAGCCTTGTTTCATGTTTTTTTTTTTTCCAGGAGGATGCTGTATTCAGGCTTTGTCTGCCAGTTCCATCACCGGGAGTTTGGGTTTATGTTGCAGGAAACCGGGGAAGGACGAAGAAATCCCACCCACGAGTTTTCGAGAACCATTTAAACACTGGCATATCCTGGCGGCACCTGCAATAACAGCCCCACGCCTACAACACCTGGCAAGCGCTGGGGATCAGCTGTTCCAAGTTATGTGCTAATCAGTCTTAAACTCGCTTAGCTGCGCGCATCTGACGGGGATGGGACGCATCGCTTGAGATGTGGTCGTGGGAATGTTTCGTCTCTGTGCTCGTCGAATTCCAATTGTTACGGTCATCACCAACCATGATCTATCCACTGCTGGACCAAGGCCGCATGGTCATGCGAAGCAACCATCTCTGTACTGCCCGCACATGAGCTGATTTCATCGCTCCATCTCATGGCAGTGGACGGCCTCTCTTGGGATGCGTTCCATAAATTTAGCTGCCACTCCGTGGTTAGTCTCGACCGCCTGCCGTCATTCCCTTCCAAGGACGTGTCCTATCCAAACGCGCCTTTTTTTCTGAACGGGCAATGTGAGAGATGCAATTACACTGATTACTTTACTTGTACACATGTACCGTACGCGTGCAATAGGTGCACTAAACTCCCGTACAGTATAAGAAGTGAAATGTTTCTTTAAAAGTAAAAAAACTAAAAATTACTATCATGTTGAGTGTGCGACCCAATGAGACTGACGCATTAGCGATGATGGTGACGATTGTGATGATGGTGATGATGACGATGGTGCTGATGGTGACGATGGTGATGATGTTGGGGATAATGCTGATGATACTGATGATGGTAATGAGGATGATGATGACGATAGTGATGGTTAATAAATTACTTATTTATCTAGGATAACCACACTGAGTCATAGGACACGTTTTCTGGAGGGTCCTGCCGCAGCTGCATTGGGTTTTTATTATTTGCAAGATGTTTAAGCACATTAATGATGGGTTGCGTGCATTACACACGTGGGAGGAGGAAACCGGAGCGCCCGGAGAAAAACCACGCCTTGCGCGAGGGGGCAACGCTCTATCCCCGGTACAGATGTAAACAGGTGGCGATTCGTCCACACTGTGCTGTACCCGCCTTCTGGTGGCACAACCAGGGTTATGGCACCTCCTCGACGCGTAACAACGGGAAGGGAGTTCCACAACATTTGTGTGCCGTGATCCACAAACCCTCGCTACTGCCTCCACAGAGTGCTGGTTCACAGGTAAGCCACGTGCATAGCCACCACCGCCCGATTAGATGACGGTGCTCAGCTGAGGCTGTCACAGTGAACTCATGATGATAACGATGATCAAGTTCAAGTTCAAGTTCATTTATTAGGTATAGCCCTGTGAGCCATTCAGCTCTTGAATCGGGTGCAACCGCAACAAACAAAAAACAAAAACATGAACAAAAAAACATCTTAAAGTGAATATGTGACTAAGTGATGATGATGATGACGTTGATGATGGTGGTGGTGATCTCACCCACACCACGCTCACCTGCTCACTTCATTCCGCGTTTTAAATGCAGCGTATTCCATGATCTCATCGCTCGTGCAATCATTCGCTCCGGCACGCTCACGCACGCGTCTCTTCCCAGCAGCCGTGCCGTCGATTTACTTTCAAAAGACCAACCGAAGTTGTATTTTGTACACTGTCAGATAGAACTATCTATGATGTCGACGTTTTCAGCCGACTGGCCTTCTTTGTGAGTTATTACGATTCACAGCAAGAGAGGGACGTCCTTGATTATACTGGAATGGATGGGTAGGTGGGTGGGTGGGTGACCTGATGCTGTTCAGAAAAGCAGCAATGAATAGCCAACGCAAGCGACGACGCGATACGCTGTTGTATTTATGTGCACACACACGCGCACACAAGCAAAGACAAAGATCCCGCGTTCAGCCCTAAAAGACTCTTGGGGCAAGTGCTGTTAGCGACCACCGACCAAACATACACACACACAGACACATTCACACGAAGTGCGGTAATCCCCGGTAGAGTTTACCCGTGCGAAGTTAATTGCCCACATCCACACCTCCGTGTAAACCTGCCAAATTGGGTATTCTTAGTGTGTTCGCATAGGAGCTCGCTTATTTTAGTTGTGGTCTGCGCGTAATTAAATGAAGGTGTCGCGATAGGTTACAACGGTGCAGAGGTGGGCTCCTGTGCCAGAGCGAAGAGCGAGGGATTGCAAGGGCACGGCTGAAAAAACGACGACTGGCGCTGGGGATATCTCTCAGGGAAAGGAGGTGGAGGATGAGGAACGAAGAGGAGAGAGCCTCAGCAGGGGGCACGTGTTGAGAAGAGATCAAGCAAAATGCATAGGAAGGTTTCTATTGCAAACTCACAGACTCACACAGAAATCCACAGACTCACACAGAGACCCATAGACTAGCATAGAGACCCATATACTGACACAGACACCCATAGACTCACACTGAGATTCATATCCTTTCACATAAACCCATAGACTCACACAACGACCCATAGACTCGCACAGAGTCCCATAGACTCACAGAGAGGAGAGGGGATGGGAGGGTGCGGTGGAGGGGATGTGATGAGGAGGGTGGAGGTGACGAGGAACGAGGCATGGCATAGAAGTGCAGAAGGACAATGCGAGCAGTCGACCCCCTGTACGTGTGGACTTGTGGCTTTGATGATGAATGACGGTCTGGAGAGCACGTTGTTTGACAAGGCAGAAACTGAAGAGATCAGGATGAGTCTCACTTCCTGTTTTTACACAGTGAGGCGCCCGTGTGTGGAATCGAACCCAGTCGCCGTCTTGCTGTGGGAGGGGGGGAGTGTGACCACTGTGTTATCCCCACCACTCCCACCGCCACCACCACCACCCCGCAGCCCTAAGCCACGCGCTGAATAACGTGAAACACAAAGACACTCTCACAAACACTCTCGCGCTAGCCGCCTTCGTGTAAATATTTATTTATGTAATTCAGGTAAACAATTGCTCTACACTTGTCGCACGCGGCTCGACTCCAATTGGTGGACACGGCAACTTTAGTACGCGGGGCCATCCATAGGGGTGGGGGGGGGGT